ACTCCAAGACCAATAAACACAGACCAAGACTCCCAACCAATCAAGATGAAGAAAAAACCATTCTGGCACAGCAGTAGGTTTGCCCCAAATTTAAAACTGAAACGGCTGTGAAAGTCTGACTCACAGACGAACACAATACAGAAGCCTGATGATGGCAGATGAGATTCTGCCAAAACGTTGCTACAACTTTAAAAGCACAACTATAATGACATGGGAAAATACCCAAACATATATAATTTTCTTAAGTTTTCATGGGTACTTACATGTATGGTATTCAGCTTTGTTCGGGTATTTTCCCACATCATTATAGTTGTGCTTTTAAAGTTGTAGCAATATATATAAGTTGAAAGTTGAAATATATATATATATATATATATTTCAGAATATATCTGAAAATGAGGAAGATTTAATAGAATTGATCACAAACCTGCTGGTGGATGCTTTGCAAATTGAGAAAGTTATAATAGTAGAGGAGCTTGACCAAATTTACAGATTAAACTCAAGCTACCCAAGAAGACACAAAGTGCCCAGGAAGGTCAATATTAGATTTATCAATAAGGGGACAATAAGGGATGAAATATTGAAGAGAGTGAGGGAAGAATCACTACAATATAGAAAAAAAGAAAATCATGGTGTTGAAACAGATCCCCAGGAAGATAAGAGATCTAAGAAGACAATATCAATTTTTGACAACAAAGCTGAATGAAAAAAGAATACATTTTAGATGGATTAAATGGGATCGTAATTAACTGGAATTCTAGAAGGTATTGGGCATTGTTTACCTGAACACCACTTTTCTTTGTAGGCAAGACAAGTCAGGGTGGGTGTTACTCTTCCTTATCTGTTTAGGACTGAGTCTGTGCAAAAGGCTTATGAGCCTAACTCTGCCCACTCTGGGTGGCTCCTCCCCAATTTATGCAAAGTCAGTATGAGAGACTGGATTGCCTCTAAGAAAGGAAAAAGAAAAACAAGAAGATTAGCAGGACCCCCCGGGTCCCATGAAAGGAACTGACCCCAAGGGTGGGGCTGACCTGTCTTGCCTACAAGGAAAAGTGGCGTTCAGGTAAACAACACCCATTTTCCCTTGTAAGGCTGAGATAGGTCAGGATGGAACATACCAAAGCAGGGTTGTCCTTGGGAGGGTTAAGACTGGTCCTGGCTCTCACAGTCCAAAACAACTCGTTGGAGTACCCGTCTACCAAACACCGCATCCGCTGAAGCGAAGGAATCCAGGCAATAGTGATGGATGAAGGGAGAAGGTGAAGTCCAGGTAGCAGCCCTGCAGATCTCTTCCACTGATGCCTGTGTAGCCCATGCCACTGTCGTAGCCGCACTGGCAGGGACCTTCTGGAATAGGCATGAGCTATGCATGCCTTCATCCATCTACTTACTGTAGATGGAGAAACCTTACCACCCAATGAGGAAGGTTGGAATGAACAAAACAGACTCCGTCCTGCAGAAACCAGCAGCACGTTTAATGTACATTTTTTAAAACTCTGCGCAAATCCAGAGTGTGCCAAGTCTTTTCCAACTCATAGACTGGATGAGGACAGAAATCCGAAAGCACCAGCTCCTGAGCCCTGTGGAAGGATGTGTTGACCTTCGGAATGAAAGCCAGATCCAACTGTAAAACCACCCGATAAGGATGGAAAAAAGCAGAGGTCAGGGCAAACCGAGAGAACCACCAATTCCAAAACTCTCCTCGCCAAGGTGACTGCCACTATGAAAGCCACTTTCAGGGTAAGGAGATGACGACTGGATTGTTGAAGCAGATCAAATGGAGGATTAGTGAGGGACTGAAGAACCTTGGTCAGATCCCAAGTGGGGTACCTATGTACCACAGGAGGGCAAAGGTCTGGCTTCAGGAAAGGAGGGTTCCACCCCGTTTACTACACCCACTCTCCTGCCAAGGTGCTGCTTCTCCATGAAGATCCTCAGCTTGACTGTAGCCTTCAGATGGAATGGGAGAAGCACCTCTTCTGGAAACCTCAGGGGACCAAGATTGGACATCAGGTCTGTAAGAAGGTCCTGGCTCCTCCAAATCCGTGTCACAGATGAGTGATGCTGGGGATGGGGGGGCATGCAGATGTTAAGTGAGAAGAGCCTGATGCAGCCTATTTGCTTCTCGATGGCCTGATGGTGCCTGGAAGCATCCATCTCCTCCGCCCTTGAGGTCTTTTTAAGTAGCTTAATAAAAAAAAAATCCATTAGCTATTTCATTCAAAGTCAAAGGTTTAAGGTATTCCCTTTATACTTCCCTCTACATGCATATTAATTATGATACAGAACAGGTTCTTCTGAACCTAGAGCACCAGAAAAAAAAAAGCTGCACTCTAAGCAATAAATTATCTAATTTACCCCTTGCTCTATAATCCAATTGCTGTTCAAAACTCCCCTAGAATTGTTATTGGCTTTGAACTGTATTTTGCCAGTTCTCAGAATGCAGCACCTTGTCAAGCATTCTAATAAAATCATTGCCAACTTTAGGAATGGAAACTTTTGTTCCATTCTCTATTTCAAAGTGCAGCAAAGATTATAACAATTTAACCTTTTAAAAACACCTTCAAATACTGACTCTATATATCCATTTCCCACCAAGTATTAACTTAAATGAAAAGAATCTTAAGTTCTCATGCAATACATTAATATACACATTAAAAATATACCTGTAGTCCTACCTCTATATTAAACATTTTAGGAGCAGCATTTTTTGTGCAAAATCCATTGAATTTATAAATGGATAATTAAAATGGGAACTGATAAGTTCTTGGCACAATCTTATTAGCTAATAGTTTGCCTCTGGGGAAAAGATTAAATTGTTTGATGCAGAGTACAGAGAAAAAAAGCAAAATAATTATCAATGGAATTTGTAATTCTAACAATAATTGGTATCCCTGGCTTGTTAAGGGATTAATTTCCTTCCTTTGGAAGGGAAACTCTTTTAAGACTTGGTAAGATGTACATTTATTTAAATTTAGTTAACATAGTTCTGTAAATAATTGGCTAATTTAAAAAATTGAGAACTGAAACAAATAACCCATTTTCCCCTTTTTAATTGTACTTGCATTTTTCTACAACTGAAGATTATTGAAGCAGGCTCTGTCATTCTTGCAGAAGACAAGAAGATTTTAACTGATGAGCAAGTTAGGAATTTTTATGAAAGCAAATCAGAAGAGGTAATAAGCTCAAGTGGGTGGGGAGGTGAGGGCACAGTTATTGTTAAAGATATAAAAGGCTTTCAATATAGAGAAAAATATTGTTCATTGTAATTACTGAAAATTAGTTATGATATAAATTGCATGTTGCCATAACTATTAAAGTTTAACCATATCATGCCTTTTAAATAATTCAGAAATTAATACCATATGAACAAATTTCTCTCAAGGCTACCTTCCCAATAGTGATTTAAAGGGCCTTCTTCTACAATTATGTACATTGTTCTGAGATAACAGTAATGAAGACAAGCTTTCTATCATTTCAACAATGTCTGGATGATGTTAAAAAGCATTATAATTCACTAATGGAGAAATGGCTTCAATGTCAGAGCTAGAATAGAGCTAGAATAGCTAGAATAAAGATGTTTTCAATCTTTGGTTTGAAAGTTTCACTAAATGCTTTTCAGATTTCCCAACTCAGCATCTCCAAAAGCAATAGTGTCAAATGAAAGTGATTTGAACAGAGACAGTTGGTGCCTACAAGTATTCTTGGCACCTCAATACCCCAATCAGAAACAAAGAATATTTATGTACTTCAGGGGTGGGATTCTACCAGTTTGGACCAATTCTGTAGAACTGGTTGTTATGATTCTGTGCAGTTCTGAGAACTGGCAAATCATGCCACTGGCTGGCTCCACTCCTCCTCACCCGCCCTGTCCCGCCCAGTCACTCCTTTTCTCGCATGCACGCCATCCAACTTGACTGTGTTGTGCCTTCATCTAATTTTTGGTAAGTTGCTATTTTTCCTTTCCCCCCCCTGACAATCAGCTGTTCTGACTATCAGCTATGTCGGGCAATTTAGATTAGCTAGAAAGCAGAAAATCATCAGATTTCTTGCTTTCTAGCTAATCTAAATCGCTGTTGTACTGCTTTACCTTTGCCCAGGAGGCTTCCCTCAGGCCCAGTCAGGAGTGGTATTCAGGGGGTTGGTGGGAGAGAAGCAGCCTGAGAGCAGAGCTGAACCTTCCTTAGGACTGAAACTTCTATTTTTCAGTGCATACTCAGGCAGCAGATCGCAGAAAGGTAGCTCTGTGAGTGAATCTGTGATTCTGCTAGCAACTCAATCTGCCTGCCTGCTTTGCCTGAGTTTGGGTAAAAATTGCTCTTTTTTAAATAAAAAATTCAATATACAAACCACACCCAGCCAGTCACATAACCACCAAGCCATACCCACAAATTAGGCCACACCCACAGAATTGGTTGTTAAGAAATTTGAATCCCACCCCTAATGTACTTCCTTTGTATGTCACTCTTCTATATGACATTAATGTGTCCAACAACATGAAATGAAGCCTTTTCATGTAATGTAACATTTGGAAGACAACACTTTCTCATATTAATATAGCTTATAGCATCTATCAATTCCATACTACCGATGGCATGAGCATTCTCATCTCTAATATCTTGTCTCATTATATTGATGAAGAAGCATAGGCACTCTTTGGGATACTAGCCTACTCACCAATTTTTTAGAACTATTTTATCCATATAGTACTATTCTCAGGTTTGCTTGATCAAATACATTCCATTATACAGTATAATTATAAATTGTCATCATTAGCTAGGAATTTTAATTTTGATTTTCTTGGTTTTTTTATTGCTATACTGTATATGCTTAAAAGAAGAAGAGGATAGCAGAGAATGAGGTGGCTGAATGGAGTCAGTCATTGAAGCAGTTGGTGTGAGCTTAAATGGACTCTGGGGAATGGTAGAGGACAGGAAGGCCTAGAAGAATGTTGTCCATGGGGTCATGATGGGTCAGACATGATTTTGCAACTAACAATAACAATATGCTTCCATTTCCCACTGTGCTCACATTTTTTGTTTGTTAATTTATTTCAAATATCATGTATTTGATTTGTTGGTCTTTTATTGCTAATTTTAACACTTTAATCCATGGCCTGAGAGAGGTGTTTAAACAGTGCTTCCTGAATTGTTTTACTGAGAGTCAGTATTCTAATCATAAAATATCTAGAATTTTTAAACAATTGTAAACTTAGAGTACTGTTGTTATAAATATATAAATATATATTAGCACATGTGAGAAGCAGCATGATATAAAAGTGAAGATATTAGTCTAAAATCAGGTGGTGGTATCCTTAGAAGAAACCTAAAATATAAACATAACAAATAAAATGAACTAAGAATGAAAAAAGAGCATTCTCTTTTAACATTAATTCATTTATTCTTTAAAATTAACATTTTCTTTCTTAACCAAAAACTACTATACAATGCAAACATCATATAACTAATCCATGTGCTAACACCTAAACATATTATCTTCTATAACATCTTCTACCTCTATATTCTCTTTCATCAATTGTGCCTTGCATCCTTCTTCCCAGTGGTGGGATTCAAATTTTTTTACTACCAGTTCTGTGGGCGTGGTTTGGTGGTCATGTGACTGGGTGGACGTGGCCAATTTCACATCACTCACATCAAGGGGCGCCTTGCCTGGCCTCCTGAGTTCTTCTGGTCTTTGTCTATTAATTTGTCTTCTACTACAGTGTTTGATTGATTATCTAATGCCTGCCTATCCTTTTAGATCCGGAACTCCCACAGATTTTTAGCTCTATTATTCTTCACAATCTTCTGTGGAAACTCCTTGATGGCTGGCTGGAGAATTCTGGGAGTTAAAGTCCACACATCTTTCAGCTGAGAGACAGACACTGATCTATCCCTTGGGTTCTATCTAGTGTGGTAAATCCCTGCTTCTATGGATCTGGTGCTTAGTGCCTTTTTCTGTCCTGTCTCATGCACATAGGTGGATTTGTGGCTATGCAGATACAGATAGATAATTCCACAAAACATCCATAACAAAGTACATTTATTGGTACATCAGGTATCTTCATAACTCACATTTGTGACGAAGCTCTTCTATAATGACCAATCCTTTGTATATCAGCATTGCAAGTAAAAAAATGGTTATTTTCCTAACCCATCATGTAGCGATAGAAAGAAAGCTGTTATCAGTCCATGAGTGGAGACAAGAATGGAGGGAAACCTCCCTCAACCCCTCGAGGGTCAATTTAGTGACCAATCAGGATTACAGATGTAGCTACATGACATGAACTACATTTCCCAGGATACCTTTAACTACATTTACCATGATGCATTCCCTTAAGGGGACAGCTCACAATTCCTAAGTAACTAACCAATTCCCATAGACTGGCTGGGACAGCACACTCCCCGCCTGAAGTTGTAAATTCTACTATTAAGAGAAGAGAAATAAAAATTAACTATAAACTAAGATAAGCAGTAAACAGTAATACTAACTGAATAGCATATAACTACATAACTAAGATAAACAGCTATATAACTAAGAAAAAAACAGTAAACTTTGATAAAGCATCAAACAAAGCAAAACATGCAAAGCTTGTGGTTCAATCTTCAAGTTAGGCCTCTTGATGCAAGTCTGCTGGTCACCTCTGGTGCCCTTTTAGGGTGTACAGGTACTCTTGGTGGCAAAGATGAAAGTTTGCTGGTCACCTCTGGTGGCCTTTTAGGGTGTACAGGTACTCTTGGTGGCAAAGGTAAAAGTCTGCTGGTCACCTCTGGTGGCCTTTTAGGGTGTACAAGTACTCTTCGCGGCAAATGTGAAAGTCTGCTGGTCACCTCTGGTGGCCTTTTAGGGTGTACAGGTACTCTTGGCGGCAAAGGTAGAAGTCTTCTGGTCACCTCTGGTGGCCTTTTAGGGTTGGAATGGTACTCTTGCTTCCACATTGTCAAAGGGCATCGGGAAGCTGTTGGAAGGGGTGTTATGGAGGCATTTGCCCGTGTAGAGCGTCTTAGTGGATGTCTGGTGGTTGTTGGCAGCCATTTAAGGTGTTCTAGCGAATGTGTACGGATCGGCGGCAGCGGCCTTTGAGACTGAAACTTCATTCTTGTTTTTGGTGGTGCTAAAGGGTGTCGGAAGGCGGTAGGAATGGATGGTGCTAAGGTATTTGCCAGGGTTGGAGCCTGTATCTGGGTGTCACTGACAATTCCTATGATCCCCCATCCTAGTGGAGATTTGATGGCCACTGGGCCATCTACGAGACCGCCTACTGACTCAGAGAAGAGAAAAGGCATGTGGGGCATTATTTCCCAGCAAGAGTAGGATATCAGCCTCGGGATCTAGAGTGGGAAAGTGATGTAGGTGAGGTATGCTACTTATGACCTCAGGTGTTGCGATCTGACAGCGGTTGTTCGGTGCCCCATCGCACTCAAACACAGGAGGTAGAGGGAATTGGGTACTTCCATCCAATGACTCTATGCAGAGTCCAGTAGCTCTCCTTCCCGCTGTGTTTCTTGGTCCATGGCCTGTTGATACAGTGAAAGGAAGTTTCTTTTGTTGCACCTCAAAGAGGTCGAAGAATGTAGGTCTGGCCAGGGTGTGGGTGCTTTGAGTGTCTATCCGCACGTACATTTTCACGGCATCTTCAGGGCGTCCTTCAGTGTACTTTGGCTAAACAGATGGGAAGACACGAAGGAGGGCATGGTGAGTCGGCACACACTGCCGTCTGGTTGACACTCACCACTGGCTCTGGGGGTGCCTCTGTAGCACATTGAGGCTCCTTGGCTGGGGGAGGGTTATGTGTTGTCTGCTGTGGTGTTTCGGAATCTGGATGCAGAGCGGGTGGGTGCTGGTTGCTGTCAGCATCTGCGTAGGCATGGCAGTCTGGCTCGAGGGCATGTGTTGTAGATGGTTTGTGATTCTCCTCAGAGTACTTTGTGAGGAGGTCGTGATCCGTTAACAAGTGGTGTTTTTTGCTGCCTGGTGTGGGTACCACATTCGTCTTGCCATACATCTGCATTAGAGTTGCTTGGAAGGTATGGCAGGAACTCTGTTGCCTGTGGATCGAGTGTGGCCACGGTGGCTGCTTGTATGCCTACTTGTTGAGAAATCTTCTTAGTAAGTGGTGGGCTAAGTTGCTTGCCCTGTAGGTCTTGAGACCTTGGTGTAGGTTGTTTGTTTTTGG